GGCAGGCGCGACCTCGCCGAAGACTCGCCCAAGCCGGCGAAGAGGAGAAGGCTCGAGAAAATGGAGAGGGCCGTCACCGACGCCCTGGCCTCGGGCGTCCCCACGCAGTGCTGCCACCGCCATTGCCACCAACTCTTCACGGCCGACGAGCTGGTGGCCAGGAAGGTCGTGCGGGCGATTCGTCGGTTCGACGAGGCGGACGCCGACCTCCGGGCGGACATCTCGCGCTGCCGGGTGGGAGATGCCTCCGCAGTGGGGCCAGGTGGAGACGGCGTCCCCGCCGTGCCCCGCCGCCAGCGGTATGAGTGGAGGGTTAGGGGCAAGGTTGTGTGCATCAAGGCGTTCGCCTTGTGGCACGGCGTCTGCGCCGACACCGTGTACCGGAAGACCGCGTAGGGGCGGGGTCGGAGCGGGGTTGTGCCGAAGGTGCGCCACCACAGAATCTGGAGGACCCACCGCCACGGGAAGGGGAGGTACGACTGCGCCGACTGGCTGCGGGACCTCGTCGGCCGCCTCGCCCAGCCCTTCCCCGACCGCACGGTCAGGGACCGGCGCACCGGGGAGGTCAAGGCCAAGGAGTTCCTGCCGGCAGGGCTGTTCTCCACCCTGCAGTCCGTCTACGAGTACTACCGCCGCGCGACAGCCGCCCGCCAGCCCCCCCAGCAGCCCGTCTCCTACACCACCTTCCGCAGAACGTGGCTTCAACGCCACTTCCAGGTAAGCGGTGGCCCGCGGCCCCAGGCCCTCCCCCTCGTCTTCCAGACACTCCAGGCACGTTTGGCTGGGAGCGTCTGTGCCAGTGTGCTGACGACGAGCCCTGAGCCCGATTTTTCTGTGGTTGCCGTCCCCAGGTGCGCACGTACCGGCACCAGCCCTTCGCCAAGTGCGACACGTGTGTGAGGCTGAGGGAGACCACCAACCTCGCCACGGGGCCGGTCAGGGACGCCGCCCTGCGAATACTCCACAAGCACGAGGCGTACGTGGCCGCGGCGAGGAGGGCGATGGAAGAAAGGAGGCGGCACGCCCTGGACCACCCCGAGGAGGTCCTGTACCTGAATATCGATGGCATGGACCAGGCCAAAACGGCGATCCCGCGCGAAATGGCCAAAAGCAAGGCGGACGAGGTGGGCCTGCCCCTGACCACCAAGCTGATGGGCGGGATCGCGTACGGCCACGGATGGTGGGGCTTCTGGTCATTCCCGGAATGGGCGGCGTCCAGCAACCTCACGCTTACGTGCCTCTGCAAGATGATCAGAGATGTGGCCCGCTGCGACGCCGCCGCCCCGGGTCTCCTGCCCCCCCGGCCCGGCCTGCCCCCCGTGCTGCACCTGCAGATGGACAACACGGCAAAGGACAATAAGAACCATTACCTCCTCGGGTTCTGCGCCATGCTGGTTGGGGAGGGGGTGTTCAGGGAGGTGCGCGTCTTCTTCTTGCCTGTAGGCCACACGCACCAGGAGATAGACGCCACGTTGAGTCTCGTTGCCTCCGCCATCAACCGCGAGGGGGCGCTCTGCTTGGAGGACCTGATGGGCGTGGCGCACCGGGCGTGGGGGGAGCACGTGAGTGTGGGGAGCTCGCGGAAGGTGAACACGCGGGTGGACCGCGTTGCCGACTTCTGGCGCCTCTTGAGGTACAAGCGCGACCGCCGGCGGGGCGTCGAGGAGGAGGAGGAGGACGGCGAGGACGGGGATGCGGGCATCCGTATGCACACCTTCAGAGGCCTCGGAACGGGACGGGACAACAAAAGGTGCGCTTGCAGTGGCCGGCTCGGGCGACCTCTGCTGTCCGCTCTTGTCGCGTGCGGGACTGGCGTGCGCCTGTGCACACCGCGCGCGCGAATGCGGAGTTGCTGCCTCGACGTGCGCCTCGCTTCCTTCCACAGCCCCGATCCAGCTCGTGCGGCGTCACTTTCTTCCCGGCTTGCCACCCACAGCCTTGATTGCAAGCAGCGGCTTCATCCTGTCGCCGTGTCCTCCTCGCCACTACTCGTGGGCAATGAGCGACTTGCCTGCTAGGGAGGACCTGTGCGCCTACCCTTGGACGTGTCCTCCACACGGTCCCTCCCTTCTCCTAGTCAAGGGTGTGGTTTGTGTCCGCTGCCTTTCCAAGTTTGCTGGCAGGCAACTAAGGTTCGCGCGCACGACGCGCGCAAACCCGCGCCGTTTCTGACAGCGTTTTAGGGGTACACCCCACGGTATATGCCGGTGTGCCGCCTGCCGCCTGGTCCGCCGGCGGACGGCGCTCGCCGCAATAACGCCTCCCCGGCTCCACAGTGCTTCATTGCTGTGTGCGATCCCTTGGGCAGGTGCTTCCACTCCTTTAAGTTCGTCCTGGAGGGGGGGGAGCCCGTCGTGTTCGCCCGCGAACACGACAGGGAGGACAGCCCGTGGGTGGGCACGCCCGACGGCCGGGGATGGCCGGTGTTCGTCCCGGGGAAACCCGCCCCGAGGTTCGCCGACCTCCACTGGGAGCCAAGGGCAGCACTTCAGGACTTCGAGGACGTCAAGAAGAGGGTCATCGGGAAGATTGGCAGGTGGAGGCGCCAACTTGACGTGTGTGGGGACCCCGCCACCGCGGAGGACATCAAACGGCGCAAGCTCCACCGGATGGCCAGAGCCGTGCGATGGTGGGAGGGCTTCATTGGCTCCCACGAGCGCACATTCCCTCTCGACGGGAGTGGCAGACCCACGTTCGCCATCGACGAGGGGGCCGCACTTCGGCTGGACAGCTTGTCACCCGCCGCGCTGGCCACCCCCTCCACTGCGCCCAGCAGCGCCTCCAACGCCCCCGCTCCACCCGTCGCAAGGTACGCGCGCCGCCGTGTGCAACATCCCGTCCGCCCGCGGTGATTCCACTTGCTTGCCCCCCTCCCCGTGGTTGCCTCACCATCCACTGGCGGTGTCGTCCGCAGGGACATTGGCCCGGTGCCCGGGGAGCGCCCCCTGCTATTTGGACACCTCTCCGCTCTCCCAAACGACAGAGAGTATGTCCCCTTTGACGCCGCGCGAGACATAGCAGCCGGCCACTAGGTGGCCATCGCCATGTCCGACGCCGATGCCAAGGAATGGGGCCGGCGCTTCGACATTGCCCTTGTCAAGGGGGCCAGGGCCGCGGAGGGGTGTGATTCAGCGGTGAAGAAAGTATTCACAGTCGCGTACTACGAGAGCGAGTTCCAGCCCCGACCCCCCTACAACTTGGGGACCCTCCTTTTTGACGCCGCGGACGATGCCCAGCTGAATGGGCGCTGGGTGGAAGGGCGGCAAATACAGGGGGAGGTGTCCTCCGACAACGTCATTTGCGATGTTTGGTTGGAGGCCAATGGGGTTGGGAGGGGGTGCATCCACCCCCAGTACAAACGGCGTCTCCAGGCGGAGCTGGAGCGTTGGGATGAAATGTGCTAGACAAGGGAGGGGCCATTTCTATAACTAGCGGCTTGTAATTTCCATAGTGTGCATCGCCAATTGTAATTGTTAGTGCGAAGCTATGCTGGACCCACAGCCTGTGGGTCGCATGCATTGAGTGTGGTTGGTTGCAGGCGTCCCCACCGGCTTCAAACTAATTATTTTTGTGCGCAACATTGTGGTTTCCTCCCGCGTGTGCTGCCCCGAAAAATGGCACGTTTGTGTGCATCCCTGTTGTTATGGCATTTTTCTTGCATTTTGCTAGTGCGCAAAATGCACGTTTTGTTGTTTTTTATGGCCCCCTTACCGACATTTTGCACGAAAGCTTGTTTATGGTAGAATAACAAAATGGCGGAGCTGAACAAGCACAGAGGATGTGGCAAGCCTAGAAGCACACGTCTTTTTGAGCAAGGTGGTGGGGTTTTGGCTTATCGCAGACTGTCGCGAGCGGCAATACTAAGGCAACCATCCTGCAGCATGAGCCATTGCGCGAGTCGACTGTGGAGACATTCGGTCTTTGGGCGCCATTGTATTTCATTGCGAAAAATTGGTCCAGAATTTTGGACCGTTTAAGCCAGATTGATCAAGGTTCAGGATCACCAACGGGACTTGTTTTTTTTTTTGTCATTGAATATTACAGAGCCAGGAGATGGATTTGTCACCAAGACAACTGTTTCTTGTGCTGTTTCATCACCCAACGTCTCTTGTCTCCATTGGCAACTACAATTCACTCAAATGTATTGACCCATTGTTAATACGCAAAGTCTTTTTCAGCAATCGACACAGCTGCTCTTTCTACGATACCTTGGGATTTGGCGCATTGAATATGTGTTCATATTCTAGAGTTCCCAGAATGCAATCGACCAGCCCTTCTTATACGGCTCACCCGTTGGCATACTAAGGCCATCTCACAATGTAAGACCATCCACAATGACTCTCTTGCTGCCAGCTGACTACCATACAAATATCTTACACATTGTACAAGTGCCCAGCAGATTGCTAGTCATCGTACTACAAGCAGTACAACAAGTCGCACACTGTCGCAATTAAAGTAGCGCGCAACTGTTTGCTCCCCATGGGACGCAATGTCGAAACTGTCAGCAAACCCTCAATCATGTGCCAGGCAATCGGTTGCTGCCAACGCTGTGACCCGTCCACTCAAAACCAATCTTTGGCAGGACGCTTGTTGCCCTTAAAACACAGATCCAATCCGTTGCCACCAACGCTTCTATGCAGTACTCCAAATCATCTATCCTTGTGGATCCTCGTGGATCTATCTTGTGCATTCGAGTCTTCACAGTCATGTAGACTTGCCACTTCAGTCAAAGAACTCTTGGCGCTGTTGAAGCACAGGTTCCGATAGCCGCTTACAAAACACCGAGTTTCCTCCATGCAGGACTCCAAACCTTCTATCCTACTCTGGAGACTACCACTCTCCAGTATCAAGTCCTCTGAAAAATCCAGACTGCCCAACACAGCAGTGGGCCACTTGATGTTCTTCAAGCACAGGCTCCAGTGATTGCAAACAAACATCCAGCTTCTTCGATACTGGAATCCAAATCATCTATCCTTCTGAAGATCGTCTGCATTCGAGCCCTACCAGTCATCCAGGCTTTTCAACGGGTATCTTTGGTTCTCTTCGGCCACGGGGCGTTTGGTTCTCTTGAAGCAGAGGTTCCAGTTGTTGCTCACAAAACATTCAGCTTTCTCGATGCATGACTCCAACATTTTTATCCTTCCCTGGGGATCCTCACTTCCCACACTTGTATCCTCCACATATATGAACCTTGTCATTTGAGCTACGGGTTTCTTGGTGCTCTCAAAGCACAGATTCCAATTGTTGCTCCCAAAACATCCAGCACCTTCGATGCAGGTCTCCAAATTTTCCAGCTTGCGCTCCAGCCTACTATTCTCCATAACCAGGTATCTTGAGAGGTCCAGGTTGTCCAATTCAGCAGTAGGCCGCCTGGTGCTCTTCAAGCACAGATTCCAGTTTTTGCTCACAAAACAACCAGCTTCTTCGATGCAGGATTCCAAGTTCTCTACCCTTCTCTGGAGATCCTTGCTTTCCTCACTCGCGCACTGCGAGGTTTCCAGTGTTTCCGTTGTAAGTACTGGATGCTTGGTGCTCTTAAAGCACAAGTTCCAATTTTTGCTCACGAAACATCCAGCCTTTGCAATGCAGGACTGCAAACTCTCTATCTTTCCTTCAAGTTCCCTATTCTTCTCCCTTAGGCGTTTCACAACGGTCAGAATGCCCATTTCGGCGACAGGACGGTTGGTGCTTCTGAAGCACAGGTTCCACGGGTTGCTCACAAAACAACCAGCCTCTCGGATGGTGGACTCCAAATCCCCAATCCTTCTCTCAAGCTCGCTGTTCTCCACTCTGAAGTCTTTTGGAAGATCCAGATTGTCCAATTCTGCGATAGGTAGCTGGATGCTCCTCAAGCACAGGCTTCCATCGTTGCTCACAAAACATCCAGCTTCTGTGATGCAGGACTCCAAATCATGTACCCTTCCCTGGAGGTCCTTAATTGAATATTCCGAATATTCCATCGCTGCCCTTTCAGTTACTGGAAGCTTGGTGTTCTTAAAGCACAAGTTCCAGTTGTTGCTCACGAAACAGCCAGCCTCTTCAATTGTGGACTCCAGATCTTCAATGATTTCTTCGAGTCTCTCTTTCTCCGCCCTCAACTCCCGGAAAAGATTCCGACCGTCTAGTTCAGCGACAGGCCGCCTCGTGCTCCTCAAGCAAAGGTTCCAGCTGTTGCTCACAAAACATCCAGCATCTTGAATGCACAACTCCAGATCTTTCATCCTTTCTTGGTGTTTCTCATTCTCCGCAGGACTCCTCACCCCCACGTACGTCATCTGCGTCACCTGCCGAATGCCGCGCTTGCCCATTGATCTCCTGCCAACGCTCGAAAATGCCGGCCCATGAAGCAAGTGGGCTGATTTTCGCAAGCCGTCGAAAGTCGTCAGCTGCGACCCAGCGAGGCTGCGTCCCCCGGAGCGCAGCGACGTTGTCCAGTGCTCGATGCCGCCACTCCGAAGGGCTTGAACACGTTAGAGATGGGGCACGTTGAGAATCGGCACTGCTGCCGTGTGGCGGGCGGAGGAACCGACCGGGGGTTGCGTCGGGGCCAGAGCGCCGCTCAACGAAAGTACACTCGAGAGTGTCGGCTCGACACCAGCTGCTTTCGCGGCCTGCTGGCAGATCCCCATTGGAGTGGAATTCGATCGGACGGCCATTCTTCCATTTTTTCGTAGTACTTGAGGCAATGGGGGGCAGTTCGTGTGAGGCGCAGTCCGCGAAGAGGGGTGGTCGCCTGTACGCCCGATGCAGGTTGCATCGTATCGGCCACTGCCCCCGCGCCACATACCCGCCGTATTCGAAACCGCGAACACACCGCGCCTGCGCCAAGTCGTGGGCTGCCGTTAGGCCCTGTGCCTTGCCGGCCCAAAAGCGAAGGCAGCAAGGGCTGGCGCCCAGTGATCAAGGGATCCCACCCGAATTTGCCACGATTGGAGACGGGGATGATGAACAACGGGCGGTGCTGAATAAACATAGCAAGTGTCAAAAGGAGCACACGACTTTTGAGCGAGGAGGTGGGTAATTGGCTTTCTGGTAGGTATTCGTAAGTGGTAACAGCACAGCAAACATTTTTCAACATGAGCAAGTGCACGAGTTGACCAACTCGTGCATTTGCTCTTGACAATGGAGACATCTGTTTTTTGGTCCCCATTGTATGTTATTTCGACACATGATCCGATATTGTTGAATGTTTACCCCAAGGTGATCAAGGTTCATGGTCACCACCAATCTTAGCAGATGGTTCTTGCCATTGATTTACCATAGAAATCAAAATCGCATCAGCTTTGGACTGCCTTTGGACTGTGCATTCATATTCAGAGTGATCGATTGCACCCCTTGTTGGAATGCCATACAATGACCACCCATGACCCAATGTGGGCAATGTTCCCCTGAGCGCATCAACATCGGCCAGTGCTCGACGCCGGCACTCCGATTGGCCTGACCACCATTGAGATGGGGCACGTTGAGAATCGGCATTGTTGCTGTGTGGCGGTCAGTGGAGCCGACCAGGGAGTGTTTGTGTCAAGAGCGCCGCTAAACAAAGGTACACTCGAGAATGTCGGCTCGACACCGGCTGCTTTCGGAGCCTGCTGGCAGATCCCAATTTCTTTGGAATTCGATGGGACGGCCATTCTTCCAGTGCTTCATAGTACTTTGAGTCAGTGGGGGGCCGTGCGAGTGAGGCGCGTGCGTGGTGCCATCCACAGGATGCCCCCCACTTCCTGGGTACAATGACGTACACATCGCACGTCTGCTGGATGCAAGCTGCAGCCATCAAGCCGCCAGATTTATTGGCATTCAGTATAATGGTGCTAGTGCACTTCTTATTAATGGGTGTTTCAAATTTGTGCCACTGTGCATTTCGAGTAAGAATCAGCCGTATTTCGCAAGCCTGCATTTAGACACGTTTACATGCACACCAAACCACCTCACACAGTGATCTACGTCATCAGACATCAACACTCTAATCAAGAGCCTTTACTGTACGAAATTCACATTTGCACAGAAAGCATCGTAAGCAATAGCCACCATCACCTCCTGCTGTAACCTCCTGCTGAATCCAACTAGATCACAGAATCTCCCCTGTAAGAAAGTAATTGTGAATAATCCTTTTCACCGGCTGCATAAATTAGAACTAGCTTTGCCACTTGATGCACAAAGTTAGCAGCACAATTGTGCACAATGTACTCCATGGTAAGCAATTATTGCCCATATCCATGCATGTGCCACATTGATGATGGGGCATCCACTGCCGATGCCACCACCAGCATTGGAAGACATGATAAAGACCACAGACTACCCAAGTCCATGTCCACTCGGATATTCAGCTCAGTATCGCCTCTGCATCCACCATAGTCTGAAGGGTTTGTGGAGCATTTGGTGCTTGCTAAGCGTAACTTTCCTTTGATGCTCACAAAACGGGTTCGCAACATAAGATTCCAGCTTTTCTGGAATGCCGCCACCCGTCTACTCAAAAGCAATCCCTGACAGGACGCCTGGTGCTGTTCAGGCACAAATTCCCTCTGTTGCTCACAAAGCAATCGGCCTCATCGATGCACGTCTCTAAAGTTTGTATCCTACCCTGGAGGCCTTCAACTTCTTCCTCACTTTCTGCTAGTTGGTCCTCGATGATCGCCATAAGCTTAATAGCAGACTGCAATTCTGCTACTCTCCCCCGGCTTGCCTGCAACTCGCTCTCCAAGCGAGCCTTCTCAGCACTGTGAGCAGCATTGCTGGCAGCAATCTGTTTGTTAGCCCTCTCAGATGCTGCATGAATGAGCTTTGAGCCCCTTTGGATGACGTCACAGAGGAGATCTGCCAATGTGTCGCTGGGCCAGTGTTGACCACAGTCTTTAACGTCTTTACAGATATCATGAAGGACGGCATCTTCACTGCCAAGCTTGTTGACCACTTCTTCTTGTAGCCTTTCCTTGCACTGTGCAATGAGCTCCCTGGCATTGCATTGGCTGGCGATCCCCGCAATCCGGAAAAGCTGGGGCCGGTGGCAATCTTTCACAAACTTCACCAGGTGCCTGCACAGTTTCGTTTCCACTTGCTGCACATGGTACTTGTGTGCCTCAACAGCCACATCCATGACAAACTCCTGCGTTCAGATTCCAAGCTCTTAGACACCAGCAGGTATCGCTGTCAGGCAACCGACACCCATTCTTTCAGTGCACTTGAGACAAGAATACCGGCCATCCATCCACCATGGCAGCCAACCAGCGACCAGCCAGCAAGGCACTCAAAGCAGCCAACAATGTGGTTCAAACTTGGCCAAAGTGAAGATGATGACTGCAAAATTGGCTTCACAACGGCATACTGGAACGGCATCGATACGAAAAGTGAGTGCCATTTTGTCATAGATTTTTGGTGCTATAAAATTTTGCATCATTGCACCTTGCATCAATGCTGTGAAAAGTGCTGCTGTTGTTGACCTATGAATGCGAAAGGGAGTTGTTTTGTGCACCCAATCTGCTGCTCTAGGGAAATGAAGCAAAACTATAAGTAACCAACTGATGATTGTTCCAACACAACAAGCAGGTCAGTCGACTAACAGCTACACTCCACAAGCAGTAAAGGAGGCAATCATATGTTTGCACTTTAATATACATTCACCCCATGAGTGCACCAGGAGTCCGCCACAGCTGCAAAGACTTGTGTGACCAGCAACCTTTGTGACAACACGAGCCTCCCACATGTTCGTTCTTGCTGTTTTCATTTGCTGACTTGTGTTTCCTTCTTCCCCGTTGGACATCTGTTGACTGCAACGACCGCAAAGCATACCAGCAGCTGAATCCAGTTTTCGAAGGGCGCTGCACACGGTTCACGACTGCTGTGCTGGCTGCATATCTCACCAGCTCAAAGGCTCCAATGTCCAGATCCACGGGATACATGTGGCTGAGCAGAGCTCGCCATACAAGCGAAGAAGACTCCGGCATCTTCAGTTCACCATTTGTCTCCAGTTGCAGGGCCTCGGCCAGCACCGAAGACCACATGGAGAGGAAGAGTTTGTGCGTGTGGAGGGCAACGCCGTCGGGGAACTTCAGCACCAAATCGCTCCCAGCACTCAAGGCACAGCTTTGGTCAAATCGTGGAAGCTTGTCGAGCGAGGGATGCGACGAGCTCTTGGCGCCTAAGAAGACAAGTGGGGAACGTGGGTCAAGGGAGGTCAGCCATGGCTCCCACGCGCACATTCACGGTGGTCGTCAAGGGTCAACTCGCCTGCATGGATATCGCACTGGAAACAGCCTACAAAGCGCACGTGCACTCTCGGGGTCACACGACCAAGGCGTTATCGTCAACGCTTTTCAAGCCCGGCACTGTTGCTGCAGTGCATGCACATTGTCATCAACACTGTGGCTCTCGTCCCACCACCCTCCCCAGTTCGTGGCCTGTCTGTGTGAACGAGAGCTCTCTCTCACCTGCAGGCCGCGGGCGGTTCCCGCCTCTCTGGTTGCCTCTCATTGCGGCGGGCCTAAGTCTCTGGTAGGGCAAGAAACAACTGTCGCTGCTCCCTTCACCGACCCGCAATGTACGGAGCAGGTCCGCAGCGGCGCGGCAGCACCCGGTGCGCACACTTGTGTCTTTGTTGCCGCCCATACAGTAAGGATCCGTCCTAAATGGCCATCAGTACCGTTAGTTGGTGCATGCAGATTCAGGGTGACCGACTGCACCCTTATTGGCGGCGCCATATCATGACCACCGTTTCACTGGGTGGATTACTTGTGTCTGCATTTCAAAAGCGCGATTGCCTGTGAGAGATGCCCCAAGGTAAATGCCAATGAAAAATGACGTCAAGGTGAGAAACATTGTTACACGAAAATGCTCAAAAACCATTCCTCAGAAATATGGAAAGTTTGACTTCTGGGGTTCATTTCCAACCACGCTTTTGCCAGTTTTGGACAGCATGGCAGCCAGGGTTCATGAAACATTGAGAGGTCTTCTTTTCCTGGTGTTGGCGGAAGCCCTGTGTTCTCTTAGCCTACACCCCACAGTGGTTCATCAGTGAAGGATAACTGTGGCGTCTTCTCTACGTCAGTTGCATTGGAGTGGTGATGTGGCCTGCGGCTCAGAAAGCCATGCCATATGGGAGGTCACGAGGGTCCTGGGGATGCGAATAGGCAGGCAGGTTCTTGTAAGAATAAAGCAGAGCTGTTCCAGCAAAGGGTTCACCGCCATCGTCGGCCATCGCTGATGGCCCGTCAGTATTGTGATGGTAACTGTGAGAGCTAAATACGAGATTGGGGGCGCTTACTCAGGCTCGATTTACGATGTTGTACGGCGTAATGTACGGCGAAGTGGATGGGCCCAACTGAATGGATTGCCTCTGGTTTTTCTTAAAATGGTGCTGGACACCAGAGGTACAATGTTTGCAATCATTATCGTGTGGGGAACACTGGGCGTGGGTGGTGGTGGTGGGGGTGGGGGGTGGGGGGGGAGGTTCGGGCAGAAATGTCTTCGCACTGAATGGCAGCTGAGATTAGGGACGCCGGTGATACCATCCTAGGTATGTTTCGAAGGGCGATTCATGGAGTACGCTTGCACGAATCCAATTGACATTGCAACGATTTGTGGGATCCGCCGTGAGGCATTCGAAGCTGACGTGGATCTTACGCATGATTCCGTCAGTGTCGCAACGCCGACTGTTTGATTTCGTTTCATGCCTTGTGTTGGGGAGGAGCGATTCGTTTGTTCTCACCGATGTGTAAGTCAAGACATCGCCTAGTTGCAAGAGTGCTGTCCGGTGAGACGAGTACCGGAGATCCCGAGCGCCTTGGCCATTGACGAACCACGTCTGCTGTAGTCGCTGTTTTCTTGCCACTGGCTAGTCTGATCGCCGGCTAAGTGTGACTACGACCAATTCGGTTCAACAGCAATGGTTCCCTCAAACCCTTTGATTGCATTTGTCACAGAAACACGACTAAACACTGCCCTTGCACCTTAGAGGCAATGTTGGGCAACCATGGTTCCCAGTTGTTCGCCATTTTGCTGAGTTCTTAAATCGTTTGAGCACCTGGTGTCACAAACAGAAAGACGTGTGACGCTGGGGTAAATGGACTGGAGGAGTAGCTCGTAGTCCAAGGGGGATCCATTCGGAACACAAGATACGGTTTGGGGTTGAAGATATGTCAGTTTTGGGGATTGGGGCCGGATCACAGGATACAGGTGAAGATCACGGCTGACAAGCCATGTGCACGTGAATTTTAGAAGCCTCTGCTCATGGTCTGCGAGTGCGGCACTAAGGCCGCGCAATGGGCAGCGGCCCCAAGGAACCATGGAATCCGCACAACCGACCTCCAGTGTGTTGCTTGCATGTCGAAATTAATACCAATCATGTGCGCAAAAAGGCATTGGTGGCACGTGAGTCGACCGTGGCGACCGATGGGCGTCACCATACACTAAGCCAGTTGGGAGTATTGGCAGGATGCAGCCAAGGGGCTTGTTATGCAGAGATTTCTGAAATGTCTGTCAAGAAGAAACTTCTCCCTTTTCAAAAATAGGGAGTTAAAAGAGCTCGTTGAAAGTTTGAAACAAACTCGTGTTGGGGCAAGCTCGAATGGCGTGCGCATGGCCACATATTCATCGGGACTTGATCACGTCGCGTCAAATGTCGCGCGAATCCCCATCCCGCAGGCAATATGGACAACACTGGCCATCTTGACAGCAACCTGCGATAGATCTAAAATTGAGCCTATGAACTGAAATGTCATGACCGCTGTATGCTGCGGAATGATGCTGGGCCGATACGTATGCATAGTGCCGTTGGCACACCAACTGCGAGGACGCTGTATTTCAACAAGGGCACCTGATTATATTATGGGCATGGTGTACAGTAGCCATGTGGTGACAGTGAATGACGACACACGATAAGGCTCCAATGCTGTGCTGCGTATTTGGCAATGAATGTGCACCCTCAACATTGTTCATACCATAGGCATCGCTTGAATCGTTACTGTAGGTCTCCTGCGCCCAGGTGTGGCCATGGGCGAGAGTGGGCTGAGCTTCACCTTGCTATACTAAAGTCACAGAATATGGGTCTTTTAAACCAGTTTTGGCAATTATGCCGTAAACACAAATCGTAATTTACGTTTTTACTGATAAGAATAGCTTTTACGTTTTTCCTCGTAAAAACGCGTAAAAATACGTAAATACAGCGTAAATACAGCCCCATGTACATAAGGACAGTACATGCAGACCCGGGGAGTCCTGCGAGTGGCATTGAGACGGGCTGGAATGGGTAGAAAACGAATATTTGTTCCACGTCGTCGTTGCCCTCGCCGAGGGCGAGGTGGACACTGTGTTGCGGGTGCTGGAGATGATGGAGGACTGAACATTGTGCGCGACTTTTGTCATGTAACCTGGGAGTCCCAGCGAGCAGCAAAAACGTAAAAATGGCCGCAAAACAGAGCCCCTTTCGCAAATTTACGTTTCACATGTCAAAACGTAAACGTAACGGCGAATACCAAGCCCTCTTAGAACAACACTAAAACCACTTTTATGACGTATCCGGCGAGCCAATTGAAAGTTGACATTCTCTTCGAGTTGCAGTGCGTTCAAAAAGAGCTGCCTTGAGTCCTCTAACAGTTTGAGCACAATGTTCTGTTTCAGAACCAATAGAAGCTAGCCAATGATGGTGAGATGTGGCCACCGTGGATCCATGCCTGATGTCTACAGAACTGTATGCAACCCGCACAGATGTTTACATGTGCTGCAAACCAACTTAAAAGGTGATCTACATCATCAAACTTCGATTCTCAAGGGCCATTACTGTTCGAGTGCGAAATAAACATGCACACGGACCTTAAGCAATACCCTTGCCAACCTCCTGTTGTACGCAACCAGATTATAAAGCTGCTTCTGAATATAGGGAATTTGCGCATAATTCCAAACGCTGGGCATATAAATCAATACTGCTACACTGTCAGACGCCCAGAGCTAGAACTGGAGCAATATCCAAAATACAAATGACGTCCCCCACGTTTGACAATCGCTGCCCGTCAGTGCATTTGCCACATCTGTTATGGAGGCATCCACTGCAAATGCCGTCACCTGTATCCAAGGTCATTCCAAAACTAATAAACTCAGCCCCCATGCCTTATGGGGCGATTGGTGCATACTGAGCACAAATTTCCTTTGAGGCTCACAAAACAACCCGCATTTGCTATGCAGGCTTTCAACTTTTCTGTTCTTTTCTGGCTGTCCACAAGCCGCTTCTTGAGTACTGTGACCGGCCCAGGCTCAATAGACTCCAATTCTGCTACCCGTTTTTGGCTGGCCATCAATTCCTTCTTCAGGCTCGCACTTGACGCCTTTTCATCTGCCAAGGACCTGCCATCAGCAACCAGGCTAGCAGACCTTTGTACTTCAGCCTGCAAGCAATGACGGCTTTCAGCAAGCAGCTTTGAGCCTCTTTGGATGACCGCACAGAGAAGGTCTGCCAAAACGGTGCTGGGCCACTGCTGGCCATTGTCTCTGATGTCTTTGCAGATATCGTGAAGAAGGGTATTGGCGTTGCCAAACTCCATATGGTTGATCACCACCTCCTGTATTCTGTCCTTGCACAGCGCAAGGAGCCCATTGGCGTTGCACTTGCTGGCGATCTCTGTCATCCGAAACAGCTGGGGCTGGGGGCAATCTTTCACAAACTTTAGCAGATGATTGCACATTTTCGTTTCCACGTGTCGTATGCCATATTCATTTGCCTCATCAGCCACATCCATGACAAATTCCTGCATTCAAGAATCCAGCTCTTAGACACAAGCAGGCATCGCTGTGAGGTACACGATGCAATTCGATTCCTGGCAAATGAGACACAAATACCCCTCCCCCCCCCCCCTTCCCCCCCTCTACCACAGTATTCAGCTCGATGAAGAGGCAAAACATTGTGGCAAAGTTACCAACATCGCAGTCTGAAGTTGATGAAAGTGCCAAAGATGATATTTGCAAAATTCC